TGATGAAGTCGTGTCAGCAACTGATCCTCCAATTGAATGCGCGTTCGCTTCTGGAGTGACTCAAAGGCTTCCGAACAGTTCTTTTGCCGCAAATGCTTCAGACAAAGTCGAATGGCCTCTCGTTGTCCTCTAATACACGGCTATAAATGTGTGGACACAACAAGTGATTGATTAGTAATTTAATTAATTGAGACAATCATTGAATCAATGAATACTTTGGCGGATAGTTTGGTGAATAACTGGACACTTGATGTATGGTATAAGACAAACACTTGTCAACCGAGCTTTAATTTTAGACACAAATGTCATATAATATATAAAACTCACCAAAATTGATTAATTTTACACATATTTAAACACTAAATAAAATAATGATTAAACCATTTTCCATCAATTCATTTATTCACCCATTTTTGGACACAAAATACAATTAATTGGTGTTACAATCAATCATTCATTACATTATAAAATTGCCCAAAAAATGTGTACAAAAATAAACGCCACAAACGATTAGCCCTTCTTTTTGCTGACACCGACTGTACGACCTCTTCGGCCGGTGGTCTTCGTGTGCTGTCCTCTCACTCGAAGTCTGCGTAACAATCAATCAAAACAATAAATACAATGTGTTTCATACAAGACATTAGCCGTAATACTGACCCCCAGTAGTGTCTGAGCCCCCGATGGGCGCGAATCTTCTTCAGCCGTTCCAAGTCTTCGCGGAGTTTACTTTCCAACGCATTACTCGTCACCTGAGAGTACTTCCCGTCTTTGATGTCCTTTTGTCTGTTCAAAAACCAGTCGGGAATCTTGTATTGTCTCGGATTCGTCATAATTGTCACCAATTTCTCAACCTTTTCATCGATAGTGAAAGAAATGGATTTAGTCATCACATGAGAGATCAAAGTTATGGTGAAGTATACCTCCTCTTCGGTGAGCTCTCCGGCCCTTTTGTTGAGATCCACGTCAGCCTTCTTGCAGACTATGTTCGAGAAACGGCGACCGATTCCCTGACCACACATACAGACAGTGAGTGAAGCATTCAATACACGTGTCAGACAAGGCATACCTTAATGGCCGTCAAAGCGAACATCACTTTGCGTTTGCCATCGATGTTGGTATTCATGACTCGCAAAATGTGGTTAAACTTCTCGGGAATAACCAACGACTGCATCGGCGGCCGAAGTAGTGGTCATCGCCAGTGGTTATCACGAGTATAGGAGTCAACACACGTGTTGCACATCCATAGGACACATTTCGCAAAATGTGGTTAAACTTCTCGGGAATAACCAACGACTGCATCGGCGGCCGAAGTAGTGGTCATCGCCAGTGGTTATCACGAGTATAGGAGTCAACACACGTGTTGCACATCCATAGGACACATTTGGTGGACAAACATATCACTGGTTAGCGAGTGGTGGCATATAAACAGATAATAATATATACTGACCATTGTTTTGGATCAATTAAGCGGTGACTTCTTCGCTATTGATGTCAACACTTTGAATGAGAAACGAGAAAAGGAAGCGAATGGCTCTCAAACCGGATATCCAATGCTTTCGCACACTTTTGATGAACGTATTAATAATCCACGTTTTGGTACCTTTTGTTTATAGCATTACAATTAGTTTCAATGTATAGAATAGGTCCAAAACTATTGAACGTTATTTGTTTAATTGGAAACGTTTTCATACAATATATAAAATATTAATACTTGTACACTAATACAGTCTATTCTCGTTATAATAAACGCTGTTGTTTGCATCAATTAAACATGTTTATTAATGAGATATATTTAGGAAAATTAATTAATTTATAGTTTTATTTTAAT